GACTTGAACACAGCACTGTTTTTTTTAAGTAATGGGGTTTCTTAAAATGAAAATACACAGGTGAAACAGAAAAACATTCTCCATATTTTATCAGCTTCATCTGAGAGTAACTGGTAAGGTAATGAAGGCAAAGGCAGAGGTGCAAGTAGGCAAAGGGGAAAAATCAGCGTGGCTGCAGTATCTCCCACTTCAACCTCAGAATGAAGCAAGACAATAACCGTCATCCAAGGGTGAGCAGAAGCCGGACCTGGATCCATTGGTAGCTCTCTGGGTGATGTGCAGTAGATTGGCAAAGATTTCTGATTCCCAGTTGTTAAAAAATAGTAATGACCCATACACACAGCCTCCCCTATTATACTTCTGAAAGGAAATAAGGTTAGGTTTACCAGTAGATCCTTGCGCAGAAGGACTGGGAGTGCCTTGAGTACCAGTCTGGTACTTAAAACTAATTCCTGGGTTTTAAATCTAAGGGTGTGCTTTTTGCACCATTTGGTGCCAGTTCCATTTGGTGGGTCTTGGGGTTCTAGTAAAAAGCAGGGTAGATCCTCCAAGCTTGAAGTCTGCCCACTGCTGGTGAATTCCTATACAAAATTTGCATATACACATAGGGAGAAATGAAAATATGGGAGTGCATGAATTGCAATTGAATGGTTTTGCTACCATTCAGGGCAGCATAGAAAGATATATTGACATGAAGGAATGAAATGTCTCATTTATCCCTGTCTTCAGCTCTCTCAGTCTTTCAGAGAATTATCACGTCATGTCTGGGCATGACTTCCAGGGATGGGGTGGGGAGAGTTGCTTCAGTCCAGAAGCTCTTAGGGCATTTTCACAAGCACTGCTATGAAGTCTTTTTAGTCTGGAATGAGTCACTGGGGGATATTGTTTTAAAAAACCTGTTCTAATTGGGCCAATATCCTAGTAACCGATGTAGATTTTCCAACTGAGTACAAAATGTGGGAAACATTCCCCCTCCACAAAAGTGTGTGTGTGTGTGGGGGGGGGACTGCACACAAGAACTGGAGAAACTTGAAGACAACCTCAGGATAGGTTGGCCCAAAATGTTTTTCTGCCTGAGGCAAAGGGCAAAATGGCACTTATTCCCACACTGGACAAAAGCTGACTGGATTAGCAGTTGATGATGGGACAGCATCCTGTACTACAACCAAAGGCAAAAGGTTAGCTTGGCGGTTACAGGGCAGGCTACTTGGGTCATAGCTCATTCCATACCTTGCTGCCACCTCCCACCATCTGCTGCCTGAGGCAACTGCCTCACTCTGACTGATGGTAGTGCTGGTCCTTATCACAACCTCTGCCTCTGGTGTAAGATTGTTATCTCCCCTGTTTATCCAGGTTGGCAACTCTGTGGGCACAGAACACTGGAGCGCAATGCATAACAAGGGGGATCACATGATTGCTGTAGCCCAGCCACAGTGAGTTGCAGTGTATGGTCAAAACCATTCAAACCCTAGCGGAGGTTGCCGTGGGTCATCTGAATCTAGGCGGCAGGGGTTACTGGAAGGGGAAACAGCCTTCAGATAGCCCTACCACAAGTTATAAATAACCCTATAACAATGCTGCCCCCCATTCAAAATGTCTGCTGCCACAAGACACAACCTATCGTGGCTTAAGTAGGCCGTGGTGGGTTGTAGAGATTCTGTGAACCTGCCCAGTGTCACGAATAATACACTCAAGGGAACTAGGTAGGTTTGTTTGCAAAGCAAAATGCTAATTTATATCACTTTGATAGCTGTCAAGGGCAAAAAAAACCTGGTTACAGTTTCAATTGTCCCCCTTTACCTTTCAGATGGAGGGCTCCTACCACTACCAATAAAAAAGAATTTTGCGGCTGTGCAGTCTTTTTCTCCTTTCTCTTCTCGCTGCTTCCAGACAAGACTTTTAATGGGTAGACACACAGCTTCATTCATGGAATTGTATGGCCAGGCCTAGACATCTTCTACTTGTAAGCCTCTCAAACTTTCCACCACTTCTTTCATCTTTTTCCTTAATTCTTTAAGCAAGAAAAGATTGAATAGCTGTATAATGCAATTCTGGTTGTTAATACTAAGATCCCACTGTCTAGAAATACCTTCTGTGATAAGTTTTTTTACTAATTTAATGGTGTCTTAATGCTCTTTAACATCTACATGAAACCGCTGGAAGAGATCATCAGGAGGTTTGGGCTGCAAATCATCAATAGACTGATGACACCCAGCTCTACCTCTCGTTTACATCTAGTCCAAGTGAGGCAGTGGCTGTACTGAACCGGTGCCTGGCCGAGGTAATGGGCTGGATGAGGGCCAATAAACTGAGCCGCAATCCAGATAAGATGGAAGTCCTGTTGGTGGGTGGATCGAGGTTTCAGGTAAGTGATTTTGACCTTGTCCTGGACAGGGTAGCACTCCCTCTAAAGGACAGGTCTGCAGCTTGGGAGTGCTGCTTGACCCGGAGCTGTCATTGGAAACCCAGGTGGCAGCGGTGGTGAAAAGTGCTTTCCTACAGCTTTGGCTGGTCCATCAGCTGTGTCCTTACCTACACAAGCGCTGCCTAGCAATGGCAAGTCATGCTCTGGTAACCTCCCGGTTGGATTACTGCAATGCGCTCTACATGGGACTGCCCTTGAAAATGGTCCAGATACTTCAGCTGGTAGAAAATAGAGGGGCCAGACTGCTGAAGGGGAACGGCTGTTATTCTCATATAACGTGGTCTCTATCAACTCCACTGGCTTCCAGTTGAAGTCTGGGCCCAATTCAAGGTGCTGGTTTTGACCTATAAAGCCCTAAACAGCTTGGGACCCGGATACCTGAAGGAACGTCTCCTTCCATATATGCCATCACACCCCTTAAGATCAGTGGGAGAGGCCCTGCTCCGAGAACTCCCCCTAAAGGAGGTAAAAAGGACATCTACTTGGAACAGGACCTTCTCTGTGGTGGTGCCCAGAATATGGAACATGCTCCTCAGTGAAGTTCGCCTGGTGTCGAGCCTATACTCTTTTTGGCACCAGGTTAAAACCTTTTTCTTTAATAGTTATTTTAAAAAATAGTATTTTCCTGTTTACATTCGCTTTTATTATATTTGGTTTTGACTGGATGTATTTGTTTCTGGTTTTGATAATTTTATTTTATTGTCCTATTTATTGTTTTATGGTTTTGCTTTTAAGCATGTAAGTCATCCTGAGACACAATAGTGAAGGATGGCATACAAACGTTTTAAATAAATAAATATTGCTTTAATCAAGATTTCTTTATGATTATAAGCTGCTCTGTGAACCATTTTTCTTAGTAGAAAGGCAGTAAACAAATCTAGACAAACAAATAAGAACAAAGAAGTTGTCAGAGAGCACAATGGGTTTACAAATGGAAGACAATACTTAGATAATGTATAAAACTGCGTATAAAACTGTGTGCAATCATACAATAAAAGCCTGATTTGGGAGAACTTTTTGTCAATGTAGCAGCCCAAAAGGTGTTTGTTTTCCTAGCAGCAATTTATCTTCAGGGACATGCCCTACGCCGTACACTCAGTTTACAGATGACACTGGACATGTGGACTTCACTGCTTCCCCCTAGATGAACTGAGGATGTGTCCCAGAACATTCGCAACGCACTGCACAGTCTGAAAGCCATTGTTTTATGGGGCTACTGACAAGTTGCCATTTTGCTAAAAGCTACACTTGCGGCCATCATTTTATTTATTTATTTATTTAAAAATTTCTATGCCGCCCCATTTGCCGAAGCCTCGGGGCAGCCTACAACATCAGTTAAATATATAAACCACTAAAAATATAAAACACATGAACATTATAAAATCAGTCGCCCTGGCCGATAAAATAAGTCGCCCTGGCCTACCTTGGTGTTCCCTCTTTGCTATTTCTTTTTTATTCTTTGATGGCCACTCTAGCCAATAATATCAGTGATCATTTTGAAATGATTCTTGAACCCTTCAGAGATTACAAATTCTATTCTTCTCTTCCCCTCTTTTGTCTGTGAGAGGGGAAGAAAGAAGCAAGAGGGGAAGAAATGTCATGATGCTCATTTCTGAAGAAAAGTGTGTATTATTCAAGACGCAGTCCATGAAATAGATGGAAAAATTATATTACACACAATATTAAGCTTGCACATTCCATGGAGTAGCTGGCAATGAAACCTACCTGTTTTTACACACACAGAGAGAGAAAGAAAAGCTAAGGCAGCTCTAATTAAATCTGCAAACTTCCCTTCCAATCATAGCCAAATCACATTCCCCATGAAGCATTCTAGGAAGAGTTATTAAATCCGAGCTTGGCCCTTTTGGGCATTGCCAAGGCACACTGATGCTCCTTCCAAACCTCTTCTCCTTGCTCCTGTTGCTTCTTCACTTGCCTTTGCCAAGGAGAAGGAGTGGCTACCTGCACTTTTCCTGCAGTAGTGTGGATCTGGTCAAAGTGAGAAAGCCAGTCCACAATAAACTTCCTAATTTGCTGTAAACTATCCTTTACAGACTTTTAAGTATGGGATGGTATAGAAAAGTTTTAAATAAATAAATAAATAAGCAAGCAAGCAAGCAAGCAAGCAAGCACACACTGGCAACAAGTAAAGAGGTGGGTCCACTGAGGCAACTGTGCCTGAGCGTCTCCCCAGAACTGACATTGTCTAAGAAAAAGGAATGTCTCTCAGCCCATCTGTAATCCAAGCTCTGTTTTCCCCTCCCCATGTTAGCAGGAAATGAACCCATATCATTTTGCAACAAAGCACTATGCCTTTAATACAGTTAACATGAAGAAATAGGAAGAACAGAGTTTGGAAATTGTAAAGTCCCTTAAAATCCAAGCAGTTAAAAAATTTCATCATCTATCGTTGAAGTCCAGCTATTAATTTACATGCTAGAAAACTTAATGTAATTATTAAGCTACAGGTTGCTGTAGCTTAATAATTACAACTTATGGTAAAGGCTGCTGTTGTAGTTAGGTGTTTCCCCCTAGAAATAGGTGAAACCCAGAAATATTGCCACAAGTTACTTACCAAAAATTCACTTGTGAACTCCCCTCTGTTGAGCTTTGTGTTTCTGGCCCTTTCCAGGTTTTGCATGATAATTTCTCGTTGATCCATGCTGTGAAACTAGGTGAAGTTGAACTGCCAGAGGTAGAGATGGACATGACAAGTGCATGCCACAGTGGAAACAAGAACCAGTGTGCAAGGTTCCTGTTGAAGTTTGTGGTTTACTTAGTTCATCACAAGACCTAAAGGAAATTAGTTATGTATGTAGCCGCCACACTGAGGAAATTAAAACAACCTTTTCTTTCCGGGCCCTAGTGCCTCCTTTTGAAAGAATGAACTTGTATCTTTTTCATCCCTGATCCTACTGAATGTGCTGCTCTTTCCCCCACCCCCCAAGCTCAGATTTTCACCAGGTAATCCTCTGAAGCAGAAGGAAAAAATCTCGCATAAATTGGCAACAGAAAAGGTATATCAAGTCCACAATATATGCTGTTTAACAGGATCACTGTTCTTTACAAGCTCTGACTTCTTGATTCACGAGTCTGAAATATTTTGGTCTTGATAAGCAGCCTTCTCCAATTTTTTTAAACGCTTCTCATTCATCCATCTCCCCCAAGGGAAGTGGTTTAGCTTCCCAAATGCATTAGTCATACCTCAGCCCTAAACTTTGCCAGAAAACTCAGAAATATTCAGACACTTGTGCCCTTTCACATGGCCTGGGATGAACTGTACAAAGATGCATCACCATCAGATGTTTATGCTAGTTTGTTAAAGGTCCACAGGGGTCAATGAATAAGAAACTAGGCAGTCCCTGGTATGCAGGCTATTTGAATGACTCTACTATGAGCATCCACACATCACACTTGAAGATCTTCATGCAATTCTTCTTTAGGAAAATTAACTTTAAAAACCCAGAAATCCCAATTATCCTTCCTTCTATATAATTCACAAAACACTGTGCAGAAAATCCAGAATTCTCTTTGTCAAAGGAACACTGTCCCAGCTGATTCTTGGATTCCTCATGCATTGTGAAACAGCGGTCAAAACAGAATCAAATACTGAAGCTTTTATTCTTCCAAGTTAACTTTTGTCATAATCAGAGAGTTGACACAAGTAAGTAGTTATCAGTGTATCTTCTTCTTTACATAGGAATGATTAGGACATCCCACCTACCCTTATATGTTTTGGTCAGCAGTGCAGATATTTTTAATTGTTCCTTTGATGGGATTGTGGCTTGATTACATCTTAGAAGGTTGAGTCCTAAAACCTCTTCTCTTCTTACTTCTTATTGACTTAATTTTCTTCTGGGCATCATTTTACTGGTGTGTGTGGTTCTTTCTTATGCTTTTTCCAAGTTGGTGCCCTCTAGTTATTTTGAACAACTTCCAGCATTCCTAATCATTGGCCACACTGACAGGGAAATATCTCCAGTTGGAGTGGGGGGACACAAATACACGCAAGATGAATACTTTATCTCAGATTCATGGGATTCCTTCATTATCTGGAAAACATTTTTTCATTGTTTCATTGAACAAACATTGTTTGTTCCATAAGGTTTTGTGGGGGCTCTCTTCATCATGGTTAACTTTGAAAATGATGAAACCTCCAATTAAAGAAGGTGGATTTGTTTTTCTAGATCTTGCTTTATATCATTGGGTTATCTATTGATGTGTATGCATTATTTGGGCTTCCCTACTCATATTAAGTCTTACATTTTTTTTGAGTCTGGGAATCTCTCTAAACAGATGGCATTATATACAAGGATTCAAGGAAAGACAGGGTTCCTCTCACAGTCTCTGCTCTTACGGTTGTTTGGTGTATGTTGTTTTGTCTATTAAACCATGATCCATTTTCATACTAAATTTATGAATCAACTCAGGTCTAAACAGTGGTAAGATTCTTATTTATTTATTATGAAGGATGGGGTAAAGAAGGTGATTTTTACTTTGATCCACAGATGTATGCTTATGATGAGTTCTTAGTGTTTTCTCTCTTGCATGCTAAATATCACTTGCCAGCTATGGCTGAAGGGAGATATTTGCAACTGTAGCATTTGTTAGTATCTGCATTTGCTTTGATTGCTTTGACAGCATCAGAGAATCCATCTTTATTGGCTGCATTTATTGAGGCTGCTCAGGCCAAGATTCATGATCCATCTGTGTGAATATTTCTTAAATATACAGGGCCTTAAAAGCAAGAATAGAATAGGGAACTAGATTGTTCTGTTTTGTATAATCAACAAATCACCACTTTGCCATGTACCTATTGTGCCTGTGGATCTTAGGCTGTGTCTGATTCAACAAAACTATTGTCTTACAAGGATGTCCTAACTAGCTATCCCAATAACTTTTCAATAAGGGCATGCCATTGCTAATTGCTGCAAGTGCAAAGTAGCTAATGATTCTTTTAAACATATGTTTTGGTAATTTCCAGTAGTTGCTTCTCTGGAGGAAACAAAAAGAAGGCTATTAGAAGGATTAATCTGATGCTGATACAGTCTTTAACATCCACTAATGGAGAAGTTCCTTTAAGTTATCTACCTGCTTCTTGCACTTTAATGAACAATCAGAGAAAATTGATTCTCTGCAACCTTTGATGGTCAAAAGATTTTGAAGGACAACTGCTCACTTCCTATACTGCAATGGATTGATGACACCTTCAATGGATACCGGTCCACTTTTGTTATTGTATGTAGAATAGCTAAAAAGTTGTATTTTGTAAATATATACCTAGTATGGAGCCATTGCTACAGACATATACAAATCTGTGTCTGCAAATGAAAAATAAAAGAAAAACGTTTGACAGGGGAGCTAAAGACATAGTATTTGCACATTACTTGATTTATGACACTAACAGCCCTCGCTCATGCTGACAACATCACCTTTTTGCAATCAGCCCATTTTCCCCCAGCAAGTTTTGTGGTTTTCTTTCCATGGAAAATCCTCCAAATGTTTTGGACTATAACTTCCAGCATTCCTAATCATTGACTATGCAGATTGGGAATTATGGGAATTGCAGTCCAACACATCTAGATGGCACCAGATTGAGAAAAGCTGGTTTTGAGATTTCTAAGGGCTCACAGCTCAACTCTGCAGAAGAATTTGGTTTTGTTTTAACATAAAAACAGAGACGAAGGGTAGGGGTTTCCTCCAGAGTCAGAAAAAAGAGTAAAACTGACCAGAGTCATTTCTTTGCTTATTTGGAAAGTCTTACTTCCCCTAGTAAAAAGAGGTAAGTTGCCCACACAGTGTTGGTTGTAATAAGCAAACAATGATGCCAACTAGGGATCACATCTTTCTTAGTGCAGGCAGAACAAAAGAGCCAAAGTACAAGGTTTCAGGAACCCTCCAATAGCCGCTGCAGTCTCTCTGAATATTTGCTATAAGGAAGTAAAGAAAAAATTCTTGGTCCAACCCTTTGTTGTCACAGATCAAAATAATTCTTTTTTGGTAATGCAAATTGCTAACACAGGATTCCCAATTATGTTTTGAGACCCAGTGGGGCAGCCCAACCTTATCCCCATGGTAAGACTCTTCCAAGCTCACTTTAGGATCTTTGGCCCAAAATGACTTAAAAGGGTCATATAGTAGGACATACCTGGCTGACCAGCCTTAAGCAGGGGCAGGCTGGTCACATAGGTCTTGTCAGTACAACCAGAGCTTCCACACAGTCAGGTATTTAGAGGAATCCCTCTCCAGAGCCCCACTGTAAAAACCTCAGGTAAGCACAGAAACCACCTGAATTCAAACGTGCCAATCAGCACTCTCAGGAATTTTAATCCAATGAGTGTTTGTCATTCCAACCTGGTCATCCAGGGTATTAAAGGGGACTGCCTCCTGCCTTCTGGGTCAATTGCTCCTTTGCTTGTGATCAAACTTACTGTCCAGAATAAAAACATAGATTCTTTCCTTCTCACCCTTGTCATGCTTAATTGAGTGGAACATGCCAAGACTGGACCCTTTGTGTGCAAAAGTTTCATTACTGTGCTCTCTGATCTGCAATGGCTTCAAGTCCTTTTTCAAGCCGGATTCAATTTTGTTTTCAAATGTTGCTAAGATTTGAGTTGTTGCAGGCTTTTACGTGGGGCTTCCCCTGAAGACAGTCCGAACACTTCAATTGGTGCAAAATAGAGCTGCCAGGTTGCTGACGGGGATGGGGCGTTATGCTCACATGACTCCAGTCCTCCGTCAGCTTCACTGGCTTCCCATTGAAGCCCGGGCCCAATTCAAGGTGTTGATTATGACCTACAAAGCCCTAAATGGCTTGGGTCCTGGCTACCTGAACGAGCGCTTACGTCCGTATATGCCCGACCGCCCTTTGAGATCTGTGGGAGAGTCCCTTCTCCGGGAACCCTCCATGAAAGAAATTAGGAGAGTAAGTACCCGGAGGAGGGCTTTCTCTGCGGTGGCGCCCAACCTATGGAATTCACTCCCCAAAGAGGTCCGCCTGGCACCGTCGTTACTGGTTTTTCGGCGCCAGGTAAAGACCTTTTTATTTAAACATCATTTCAATTGTTAAAACATATGATCTGGCCTGGGCAACTTCTTCTTCCTTCTCTTTCTCCTCCTATAGTTTTATTTCATACTGATAATTTTAATTTTGTATTTGTAAATCAATGTATTTTTTGTATTTTTATATTTAATGGTAATTTATTATGTACTATTGTATTTCAATGTATTTTATCATGTTGTAAGCCGCCCCGAGGTTTTGGCAAGGGGCGGCATAGAAATGTTATAATAATAATAATAATAATAATATTCTTTTGTTTTACTTCAGTTTTATTCTGTTTTAAATATTTTACATATTTTGTATTTCCTAATGTTTGTGTTAGAATGAAGAAAATCTGACCTAAAATCTTATATTGTGATTTAAATCTTAACCAGAATAAAAGCCTTGTGAAAAATGAAAAATCTATTACAAAGTAGTTATAGCACAGTGTCACCTTGTGGTTGGATAATAGAATAGCTGCAAAGGCAGGGAACTAAAAGCTGGATGGAAAGAGCTTTGTATAAAGAATGCAATTATCCTCCGCAATAAAAACAGAAGCAGCAGCAGTCCTTCATGCAGCAGTGGGTTAAACTCCTCCTGTCGAGAAGCCCTATAACAAGCCACTGAGGACCAGATAGGCTGCCCAAGGAAAAGGTTTTCCATACTTAACTTTGATACCATTGTGGAATTGGAAACTCTGTCATGAAACCCTGTCAGAAGCCTAAGGGCAGATGAACAGAGTGGCAGGAAGAAGGAAAAAAACATCCTTCAGATAGTCTGATCACAAGCCATTTAGGGCTTTCTAGGTATAACAAGTACCTTGAATTGAGACCCTGAAATGAAACATGAACATGTGCAGTTTGTATAACACTGCAATCTACTGTGTTTCCCCCAAAATAAGGCAGGGTCTTATATTAATTTTTGCTCCAAAAGACGCATTAGGGCTTATTCTCAGGTGTTGTCTTATTTTTTCTTACAGAAGCTGTAAGATTCTTGCCCCTAGAGTCCTCCATGATTCTTGTACTCGATGGAATGGCTCTTTCTTTTTGCACCCATCTTGCATTAAGTACGTCTGTTACAACACACGACGTATTGACATTATTCATGTGTTGTGTCTGTACTCTGATTGGTCATTTGGCAATAAGTCTCGCATTCATCTGTTTGCATAGGCATTTACCTCTTGTCCAAAGGCTCCCGCTTCGGTATTTACAGATACTTAATTATAATGTATGTTATCATTTATTTTAAGTATTAATGTCAATAATATTATTTATTTACATTTAATTATATATTAACATTATTATATTATATTTCAATATGTCTATCGTGTGTTGCAGCAGATGTACTACCATGTTTCCCTGTCCATCTGGCTGACAATCTTAACTGGGGCTTATTTTGGGGGTAGGGCTTATATTACGAGCATCCTGAAAAATCATGCTAGGGCTTATTTTCTGGTTAGGTCTTATTTTGGGTAAACATGGTAGCCCTGTACACTCCAGAATGGGCTTATTTTCTTTTTCCACCTGTATTTCTCAGTGTCATGTCTTTGAAGTCCACTGTGTGAGGGAGCCAGGATGTATATAACTGCATGTAACTTTAACCTTCAGTTTCATGGGCAATGCATCTATAACCGTGATATTCTATGCATGCCCACTCCAAGTCCAATGGGGCTTACGCTCACACTTTGCAAGCAGTATTAACCTGAGATGGCCGGTAGCAGAAGGGCCAGCATTTCCTCTCTTGGCAGGATGCTGTGGTGGTCCTTCTGCGAATTGCCAGAGATATTATCTGCTTAGAGGAGGGGCTTCAGGCAACCAATATAAGAGATTTCAGCCATAATATAGCGGGTTCAGGAAAAGTTATTTAACGCCTATATTCTTCTGGTATATAGTCAGTGTGCAAGATGAAGATCTATTTGATTCTTTGGCTTTTTTTATACACAGGTAAGAAAAATCTTTCAAAACATTACTTGTCCAGGATGTATTTTATGAGCTGTGATTTCAAGCTATATATCTGATATAGTGAACCAATGTATGCAAGGATGTTAACTGTGTATCCACCAGAGCTGCCAGGATCCTGAGCCAGACTGTCAGTGGCAGGATTATAATGCACATCAGAGCCATTGGACTAGAACACTGTGCTGACAAGTGAGCTCTTTGAAACTAAATGTACAATCATAACAACATGTCCTAGGCAGTAATAGTGCAATCTTATGCACTCAGAAGTAAGTCCCACTGTCCTAAATGGGCTTACTCTCTAGTAAATGGGTTGGATCCAGACCTCATCCTAGTTCCATTGAAATCAGTGGACGTAAGTTGGTAATGATCAAGTAACATTGATTTCAGTTGTTCTACTCTAGGTATGTCTAAAGTGTAGACCTTGGCATGTCCCGACTCCCTGCACCTAAATAGCTCTCAGCATGAACTTGGCTCTCATCTTGGGTAGAAAGGATAGACTAGCAAGCCCCATGGCATGACTACAAAAATAAAATAGGAATAATTTTAAAAAATCCACCCTTGTCATGAGTGCCAGTGCCATGGGGAATGCAGCATAGATAGCCTCCACCTAGCACACACCACTTTTTGGTGGCAAATTGTGAAAGCCGGTTATTCTACAGGAGAGGGGGGAAGAAACTCTTGTTTCTCCCGTAATGTCCCATAGGACACCAGTGGGAAGAACAAGGGTGGAGGAGGGGGCCAACAAACAGTGGTGAGTCTAATCTTCTGGTGCAGCTCACCAAAGTTTGTTCACATAGCCAGCCATCAGCCTGCTCTAGCTTATGGCCAGTCATCAAGAAGAAGACACAGGATGGTCAGTGAAAAAAGGACTCCTGCCATTTGTGTGAGGTGAGCTGCAGCTACTGAGAGCAGGGATAGCATAAAAAGGGCAGCTGAAAGCCTCGGGGTGGGGGGAGTGAGTGCGGGGAGGTTAGGGATGCCAGTGGGGACGAAGAGAGGAAAGCAGCAGGAAGTTAGCAGAACCCGGGATCACCAGCTGGGATTAACCCATGGGATTGGGGAGGGTTTGGTACTTGTATGTCTGAATGGCTGGGGGCCACATACATAAACAAGAGAAGAAATGCTGTAGACAGTCAGCTGAAGGGATCCTGGAAAGGAGTGTGTGTGTGTGAGAGAGGGCATCTGTGTGTGTATTTCCAAAGCAGGTTTGCCTGCCCCCCTTCACACTTCCAAAACACAGACCATTCAAAAGCTTTTTTATTCTCCAGTGCACACCCAACAAAGAATGAGTCTCTGAGCATGCACAGAGCAGTTTGTTGAGCCAAATCCAGCATCTACTTCCAATGTTCTCCTATTGAGTATTCCTGGGACCCTCCCTCTGGGATATCCTTTTTGGAGAGGAACAGGCTTCTTCTTTGTCCATTGCCCACATCGCATCATGGGGTCCCGAGTTGTGCCAGGCATGGCTGGCTGCAGTTTTTCTCCTACACCCCCTCCCTGCCGTTGTAAAACCCGACCATTGCCAATGTCCTTTTGAACACCTGGGAGGAGTGCCCTTGAGATCAGCTCCTCCACTTCTCCCATTTCAGTCTCTGCGAATTCTAGTTCCCAGGGCCCCTTGTCATCTGACGCATCTGCATCTGCATGGCCTTGGAGAGTGTGCCAAGAATAACTGTCCCTTTAATTCCCAACTCCCTGTCTGTGTGCGAGTTGCATATGCCCAAAGTTAGGAGGATATGGAGGGTGAAAAAAGTGTGTCTGTGAGTGGCATGATGGGATGAGAGTGTGTATGGCTGGTTACTCCAGGTGAGGGCAAAGAAGAAGGGATGGAAGAGTAGGCTGGGGTGGAGATGGAGAGAGAAAAAGAATTTGCCTTCTGTGGAGAAGGTTTCTGATGGCACTGAAAACTGTGGACTCAAAGGATTTGTTTGGTGTGTTGGGATCCCACCTCTGCTTTGGACACAGCCTTGTAGAAAGCTGATATGTTTGTTGTGACTATCTGTACTTCTCATTGTGGCCATTTTATAAGAGTTTCTCAAATTACCAAAATTGTGTGTGCTGGCCCAAAGGCTGCATATTGCTGTATAACAAGTTTTGTTTATTTGCTTGTTACACTAGGTTGCCCAATTACTCAAGTGCTCTGTGGGGTGTATAATATGTTACAAGCATAATAGAAGAGGGGTCTTTTATTAATATTATATATATATATATATATATATATATATATATATATATATAGCTGATGGCATTAAAAAGTTGGTATGATGCTGGGAAAAATGCATCGAAGGTGACTATGTAGAAAAGTGATGCCATTTGTTTTTGAAATTCTTAATAAATAGTGTTTCTTAAAGTGTGGAAACTTTTTGAAGAACGTATGTGTGTGTGTGTATGCTTGTATATACACAAGCATAATATAAGGCAATGAATAAGAACAACATATAATAAAACCAAAATAAAATCAGTAGCAAAGAGTAAAACCACTAAAGCACATAAAACCAACCAAAGTAAAACCAGAGGCAATAAAAGTGTACACTGATCTAAAAACATTAAGCCTGCTTAGGAGAATTAAAAGGCCTTGCCACGGTGCCAAACACATCATGTTATAGGTTCCAGATAATCTCTCTGGACAGAGCATTCCACAAACCAGGTGTTATCACTGAAAAGACTTCTGTCTTGGAACCATTTGCCTCATATAAATTAAGTGATTTATTTATATATTGTAGTCCTCTTTACACAAGGCACTCATAGCACTTTCACAGCAGTAATATGGAATGAAAAATATGTATCAAAATATTTTCCCAAGCTTTTTTTAATCTATAGAATTTAGTAATTAGGTTTGAAATTATGGCAAATGTTTCTACAGCTCCATCTGATGATTCTCTTCCAATTCTTTATCATTCCTGGTGAAAGAAGTGGAACAACCTTGAATGATTGGAATGGAATTGCCCATTTAGTTTCATAAAAAATTAGTCCATAAAAATCTATTGACACAGAGGCAACACTTAACATGAGGGGCTAATATGTACCTGTAGCAGAGAAGTTGATTATAGTTTTGTGTGATGCAACTGCTCAACACGTAAGATTGTATATGTTTCTGACATGACATATTTCTTCAAACAGATGGTTTTACAGCATTTCTTAGATCAGAAAAAGAAGAGTCAGCCATAGAAGGGAAGAGCACTACTGTACGCTGCACCTATGATATAAACAGATACAGGTTTAGCAAAAAGTACTGGTGCCGGGGAAGTTCCCGTACATCTTGTGATGTTTTAGGAGACACAGAGAAGTTTGTAAAGTGGAATTATAAAAACAAATTATCACTCTGGGATTTTCGGAGAGGAATCTTTGTGGTGACCATGAAGCAATTGACTACAGATGATTCAGGAACATATTGGTGTGGTATAGACAGGCCTTTTGCTGATATAATGATTGCAGTGGAACTGAAGGTACAAAAAGGTAAGCTGTTGTAGAGTGGCTACAATTGCCTTCAGTGCTATGATGCAAACAGAGGAAGGATCTTGTTGCCAGCTCTAGTTATAACTGATACTTATTCCTCAGTAGTGTTCCAGAGAGCCTCGGCTATTGGCTCATTTATAAATGAGATAAATACATAATAAAATAGACCCTATCACAGCCAAGCCAAGAAATGTGAGAGAACTAGTGTGGTGTGCTGGATTGGGAATCAAGAGTTCTGGAGGTTAGTCTCCTTCAACTTTGAAGCTCACTCACTGGTGACTTTGGGCCAGCCAAGCCTACTTCACAGAATTGTTATGAGGATAAAATGGAGAAAGGGAACTTGTACACTACCTTTGGTCCCTTTGGAAGAGGAAAAACAGATGATATAAGTGCAGTAAATAATGGCACATCAGGTGAACAGTCACTTTCCCTAGAGTGATTATTTATTTATTTATTTATTTAGGAAAATTTCTATGCCGCCCCATTCGCCAAAGCCTCGGGGTGGCTCACAAACATATCAATTAAAACATTATCCAATAAAAATATAAAACAAGTTAACAATATAAAATAAGTCACCCTGGCCGAAGAATAAAATAAATAAATAGTATTAACAGTTAAAATGACGTTTGAATAAAAAGGTCTTCGCCTGGCGCAGAAAAACAAGTAACGACGGCACCAGGCGGACCTCTCTGGGGAGCGCATTCCATAGATTGGGCGCCACCGCAGAGAAAGCCCTCCTCCGAGTACCTACCCTCCTAATTTCCTTCACGGAGGGTTCCTGGAGAAGGGCTTCTCCTGCAGTTCTCAGGGGGTGGGCGGGCATATATGGACATAAGCGCTCCTTCAGGTAGCCAGGACCCAAGCCATTTAGGGCTTTATAGGTCATCACCAGCACCTTGAATTGGGCCCGGACTTCAACGGAAAGTCAGTGAAGCTGATGGAGGACTGGAGTCATGTGAACATAACGCCCAGTCCCCGTCAGCAGCCTGGCAGCTCTATTTTGAACCAATTGAAGTATCCGGACCGTCTTCAAGGGTAGCCCCACATAGAGCGTGTTACAGAAGTCAAGGCGGGAAGTCACCAATGCGTGTGTCACTGTCGCCAGGCAGTCGTACTCCAGGTAGGG